GAGACAAAACCTGTTTGTAGTGGTCTTCTACACCCTTTACAGGATCACGTGGCAGTACGCTGAAGGGTTCTAGTAGTAGCAGACATCAGTGCCGATTGGTCTTCCTGTCATACATAAAATAATGTAAATTCCCCATACTAATTTATAGCTTTTTGGTGTAAGCAACAGGTTATCACACTAACATGAGCTGCGTACCAAAAACTTGGCTTCCACCAAGAACAAAATTTACTTTTAAATAGTTACACCCCCAGCATATGTGGGCTCATAAGCTTTGCGAACACTAGATATATTTTTTTCAAAATATATCCCCATTGCTTTGCACAGTAGGCGATGCAGGAATGGAAGCTGCAGTGTAAACCCTTTGCACCGGCCAAGTATTCCCACTGTCATCCAGTTCTCTGCTTTTTGTGCTGACCAGAGGGTTGGCATGCTGGGTGCCAGCAGGCAGCATTACCATCCTGCCTTTTACAGTGCTTTCTGTCCTCGCAGCCCAGGGTGTCTTGGCTCAGATCCCTCCATGAGACTGTGTTACGGACTGGCAGAGAATAGGACTATATGACTGGGAGGATGCCACACGATAAAAAGCAGGGTCTCAGTCAAAGTAAGATTAAAACGTGCTGATAACATAAATGACATTTTTAAAATAATCAGAGATGGCAGATCTTGCTGTCTGTAACTGAACAGGGTTTTCGACTGAAACAGCACTGTGGAAGTCAAACAGTGTCACAAAGAATTGCAAATTAAATTCCCCAGCTCAGCGTGATCTGGCCTAGCACAAACAGCTTTTGCTTAAAATAGATGAACAGAGGTGGGTTCATCCCAGCACTTATCTTATTCTGCTACAATGAATCCATACAAAATCAGTTTTTCTCCTTGAGCTGGTGGTAGAACTGTGCACAGGGATACAGCGGCCATGCACCTTCATTCACAAGGGAAAGTCCCCATGTTCCACATAACAAGGGGGGATAGGTTTTATTGTCACAAGAGATCTCCTTTTCTACTGAAAACATTTAGTGAGAAAAACAAATAATTTTATGTTTGGGCTTTCTTACAGAAAGCCAGCATTGCTGTACAGAAACAAAAAAAAAAAAAGAAGAGAAAGAAGGTTGAAATTCTCAACAAGTGTTTGCTGCTAATCGTAGTAGGGTGGAAAGTGGCAAGGACAGAGCAGCAGAAGTCAGTAATCCAACAGTCCTCTAGCCCTTGCTCCCTCTACTCCCCACCCAGGCTCACAGAATCATAGACTATCTCGAGTTGGAAGGGACTCGTAAGGATCACTGAATCCATCTTCCTGCTCCTCGCAGGACTACCTAAAACTAAACCATACGAGTAGGAGCATGGTATGTATGCACGTAACTTCCTGCAATACGGGATTTAACTTAGTCCAACTTCTCTACTGTTTTATTTCTTTTGTATTTAATATAAGTTAGATTTACTATGTATTGTATAATCGTGGTGGTGTATTAAGCATAAGCATAGATGGGAGCTGTATTCCCACCAATTTTCCAAAAGTGCAAGTCTTATTTAACAACAGTTTAGAAATCACCCCAATCCTGAATGTTGTGGGCAGCAGTGCAGCCCGTGCCTTCCGGTTTTCGGCTTTGTTGTGCAGTCTTCCTTGCACAAGATTGTTAACAAGCACGGTGCAATATTCCTGTGACAGCTCTGATTTGTTGTGGTGGTCACACTGGACAAAGAAGTGTGTACATCGGCAGTGGCAGATGCTTTTTGGCTAGTACGCTGTGGCCATTGGAAAGGGCAAACCGCGAGCTGTCTCCACCAGCCTGGCGCACGCCGAGCTCAGTCCTGCAAGGTGCGCAGCACTATCTGTGTCCCACGGAGCTCAGAAGTGCTCAGCACCTTGCTACACTGCGCCCCGTGTTCATCATACATGCACAATCTATTGTGCGCTTTCTGGCTTCTGTGGGTTTTGCCTCTTCAGAACCATGTAATTTTAGCACAGTTTATTTACTTTGGAAAGAAATAGCCAGTAATTTTAAAATACCTGAAGTACGTCTTGAGAAGTGCAGAATTGTATGTTGCATCTTGTCAAAGCCAGTAAAACAGAAGGCTCCTTAATTATTTCACTTTTTCTTTTGTTGTAATATGGTTTAGAAATAAATGTAAACATTGCATGCAAAACCAATGCTGTTGCATTAAGCTAGCAGCTAAAAACTTCTACAATCTCATAACAAACCATCCTGTCTGTAGCATTGATAAATAAGTGAATGAAAGTAAGTGATTTTAAAGGCTAGTTCAGCACTACCTCGATCTCCACACTGACCGCTGACACCTACATTTCCCTTCTGCCTGGAGTGCAGAACGTACTGTAAGCAGAAGACATTTCCTGTTATTTAGTTTTTGAGGAACAACCTGATGAAATCCACATTTCTATAAATGAAAAGCCACTTTCTTCTCAATAATTTAATCGGCATTTTTGAACCGTGATAAATAATTTCCACGTTCTGCAACCATACATTTCCTGAGCAATATTCAGCCCTTACAGAATGCTACTTAACAGTGATTGAAAGAATGTAAAGGGTTTTTTTAATATTTCACAGAAGAAGTCAGCTGCTTAAAAGGGTGATATTCATAACATATTGCTTGGAATTAAATCTATAGAAATCTAATACTAAGCACAAATGCTTTGGGGGTTTTGGTGTTTGTTCTTTTTTTAGTTAATGTAACTTAAAGATAAATATCATAAATCACCCTCATTGGCTCCATCAGGGAAGCCAGCTTTTCTTGGTCTGTCTTCACGACGAGTTCTCATAATCTGTTTGGCGTCTTTTTCATACAAAATTGGTGAAGTGTCTAAAGACAGAAAAGCAGAAATTAGTTCTGAAATTACCAAGAAGTTAATATTTTATCTGTCAGTTGTAAAATTAAATGTCTCCAAACCTGATTTTTGTCTATATACAAAGTGTTCTTTCATTACAGCCCCTTCCCAGGGGATATTGCATTCCAGGAGATATGAGTGGAATTTTAAACCATTTTTATACTTGTGCTTTCTATAGTTCTACCAGTATGAAGCAAACCCTACATATTCATGTTACTCTCTGAAACAAGAAAATACAACAGCACCGTCTAACCACTGACGTTAGTAACTCTTCCAATTCTTTGTTCTTCTCTGTGTTGCTTTACATTTTACGATTATTTTTCAAAGTAATGAGTCAGACTTTTGTTGCAAAGGAGAGATTGCATTGAACATTTCGCTTGCAGGACCTTGGTAAAATAGTATTAAAATAGTGAGCTTATAAAATTAAACTTTTGGGTTTTAAAATAAATTACTACAGTGTGATAATGCAGAGAGTAAAATATCTAATTCAATAGCATGATTGTTAAAAATCAAATCATGGAAATCTGCAATATAAAAATAATTATTAGAAATGAAATATGAAGATACTAAAATATAGGTTTGAAGAACTAATACTACTATAACACATTCTGCAGCCCTACATACACACGCAGGTTTGTTTAATATAAACTCCTACCTGTAAAAGTGGTCATCAGAACCAAAAAGAAGACAAACACAAGAAACTGCTTCATTTTGATTCTGCTTTCTCTCAGGCTGTTCCAAAATGAGTAACACTGACGGAGGCATTAGCCTATTTGAAGTAGCTACGTCAGTCACAAATGTTTGTTTATGATTTAACTAATTTGAGCGATAGTATGATTTTTAAGACATCTGGCCTGAAGTTTTTGAATGTGGCTATTATCTGCTCTCACATTCTCAGCATAACTCGGTTCCTGAGGGAAAAAAAACAAACCCTTTTTCCACTTCAAGCTTCAGAGTTACACTGGACATTTTAAATTAGTGAAAATCAACCCCATCACCTTACATTTAGCATAGCAAGTAATGGTTTCAGGTGCCTACGGTAACAATTGTTTTTCAAAAGAAGAAATTGGATGTTGCTGAAAAAAGGCAGCCGCAAAGGGTCCCCTGTTTAAAAAATTGTCTCGAACTTTACCCTGGCACAGAAGTACACATTGGTGTGGCTTAACTCTAGCAAAGCCAAATTATCACTGATGAAAAACACAGCAGAGAGATTTTTATCAAATTAATAGAAGCAAGCAAATGAAAACTCACATAATTCTTCTCTTTTTCAGGACAAGTTACTAGCAAACAGGATTATGAAGGCTTTTACTAGTAAACATAGTGTGAAGTGAGAACGCAGGTTTAGCAAATGTCGTTGCAGACAGCCAGTTTCTGCCACCAGTGATGGGACCGGCCAGACCTCTCCTGAGCAGCACCAGGCTGGACTTATGGCACCAGCATCGCCAATTTGTCGGCAAAGAAAGCAGTGTCCCTCTGAGTACAGTGTGTGAAATAAGGAGTCAGAATTCATCAGTGGCTCTCGCTCGAGGGATGTGAGTAATTAGCATTTCCCCTGCGAGGAATCCCGTACCTCTGGCACCGCTGATGACACAAAGCTGGGAGGAGTGGTGGATACACCAGAAGGCTGTGCTGACCTGGACAGGCTGGAGAGTTGAGCAGAGAGGAACCCTATGAGGTTCAACAAGGGCAAGTGCAGGGTCCTGCACCTGGGGAGGAACAACCCCGTGCACCAGTACAGGCTGGGCCGGACCTGCTGGAGAGCAGCTCTGCGGAGAGGGACCTGGGTGTGCTGGGGGACGACAGGTTGACCATGAGCCAG